GGGGGGGGGGGGGGGGGGTAAAAACGCACCATGATTGCGGTTGGAGGGCGACGCGCAACGAGATGGATCGATGCGCGTTAGACAGGCGCTGACAGGACGACCGAGGGATTTGACGTCCGTGGGAGGTGACTGGAGTCGGGAGATTCGGCGGCGGCGGGGAGGAGGGGTGCTCGAGTCGCCGGAAAAGTCGCGTTGGTGACGATATCGAAGTCGTGGTGCGAGGTTGGCAGGCCCAGGAGGTTGTAGGCGCTGGGTCTGGGTCTGGTCCTCAGGAAGCGAAAGGCAAAGGCGAAGGAAACTTTTCCCAGCCAGAGGGCGATCCAGGCTGTGTGAGGGATGCAAAATTCAAAGGTGGGCAGAGCTAGCCGTGTCTGGTTAAGCGCTGCTCGAGGTCCGCCTTCCTCCAACGCGCGGGCCCCACGGCTCGGTCGCCGGGAAAACCCGTGATTTGCTCCAGGCTTGGACCATGCCAAGCCAGTGCAGTAATGTACAGTACCGCCCTCGCCTTTGACGAATGCACACTGCAGGCTCACCTACCTAAGGTACCTCGAACTAGTACCTACCAACTGCACGCCCGTTGAGCGAGCCATGACAGCTCAGTGAGGAGGCATCATCGCTGCCTCGACTCCCACACTTGCTGCAGCATGGCTGAGAATGACAGCACGTCGCAGGCCCGGGCCAAGGCTCGACGAGGTCTGCTGCCTCCAGAGCTGATCGATGTCGTTGTGCCTTCAATCAAAGTTGGCGGGTTGACAGGTACCCATATGCATTCGACCAACAAAAGTTCCGCGCTCAAACAATGCTGACTCTGCCAAAAGGTGCGGCTGGTGTATTCACTGGCATTACGGCGGGCATCATACGCGATGCCTCACCGGCGTTGTTTGGCATTGCGTCTGGCATACAATGGTTCACCCTTGGATCAACGTTTTGGTGTATGTTGGACGTCACCTGCCTTCATGGGCAAGCCTTGCTGACCACAATCAGTGTCCAGGACAGTCGCCATCAAGGCATGGGGGGGTGAAGCAGTCATCAACAAGACTGACAGGACAAAAGCGAGTGCACTGGCTGGCGGCACCGCCGGTGCCGTTGGCGGTCTCATCCGTAAGTAGTGCAACCCAGCACATGGTGCAGCCAAGACACTCGTGCTGATATGGCGTCTTAGGCGGTCCGAGGAATATTTTGCCTGGCTTCATCATGTTTTCACTCGCCGGTGGTATAGGCCAGCTTTTCACCAACGGCGTTGTGAACGCTCCCGCCAACCCCAACAGCAAGAGTATTCTACAGTCAAAATGGAGTCCTCTCAAGAAGCTCACCGACGATGAGTACCGACATCTCATGGACGAGAAAGTTCTACGCATTGATACGGAAATCGCCCTCATTGATGATAAGATTGCTGAGCTCCGGGCCTCCCATCAAGAAGCAGGGAACGAACCATTGCCACCACCAGTTGACGATGCAAGCCCGAAAGCTGCCTGAAGGAACCAGGGGGGAATGCACTCTCAATATTGGCTGCTGTTCAATGGATTGGTCTCAACCCCATCACCTACCTACAGAAGGACCGGCAGAGAGAAAGCTGGGCCCGAACTGGTGGGCAATCTGCCATTGAGCGCGACGAGGAGGATTGGCCGCAGCAGGCCAGACAATTTCGCAGTACTGTATATCACACAATATGTACCATACCTATGCTTAAAGGAGCGAATGACATCGCAATTTTGCAAAGAGCATGATCGGCAGGATCAAAAGAAGCAACGGAACGACATTTAATATAAGGGTTTAGAGGAGATCAATACGCATAGCTCTGAGGCGGCTGGGTGTACATTGACGAGTATCGTGTGCTTGTGGCCACCTTGGTTTCCGAATTAGGTAGGTACATGGGAGTTGTCATCAGACTTGAATCATGTCTACCATGCGATTGTGAAGCATCAATCTGGACGTGGGGGTACTACTGTGAGAAAGTAGTCCAAGGGAGCGCGCGTTGGGCTTCATGTTCGGACCGCCAAGTGCTAACAATTCTCGTGAGATCGCCCGTAGATAGCCTTCTGGAACAAAGTGTCAGCTCAACGATTGATCAACACTATCTGCAGATGTAACCTGACCGACGATGTTGAGGTGCAGTGCGTGACTGAGTGGGTGACGTGCAGGGAGCCCGCTGCACGAATGACTTGTGCCATTTTCTTTCCGGAGGCACGCACTCACTTGCTCATCGCGGATAATGCTCTTCCCTTTGCAGCCAAACTTCACAGCTTCTGAGCCACAGCGACTCGGCCGATAAAGTAAGGTCTCGACTGGCCTCCCTGGTGAAACCTAAACCCCATGGCATGACTCTGTAGCATGCTATGTTGTTTGGAACATCCAGAGGGGTGAGGGGGGGGGAGCGGAAGCTTGGGGCACTTGGGGTCCTCCCCGCGTGTGGTACGTCCCATCCCACCCACGTGCCCCGCTATTGTCACTGTCAAGCTTGCAGCCAATGAGGCCATTGTTGGTGCCAGTCGATGGGCCAGGCCAATGTCAATCCCGATCTTCATCTCCCTGTTGAGGTTCTGGCCTACCTCTGATCGCGCGTACGCCATCTACCATCCGCGTCTCCCGAATTTCATTTCTCTGTATGCTTTGCTATCGCAGCCCTTCTTGTCCATTCCATCGTTCCGTGCTGCCGTCGCAGTTCTTTGGTGCGTTCGCTCTCTCCTCGGCTACGCATGCCGCCCTATCCCTCCTAGCGCAGTTTATCTGCGCGCATGCGTTAGACATGCGTCTGCCCTGATCCTCGCTCCTTGGCCAGCCAACTAACCCCAGATGATTAGATCCCACCTCGCTTCCCGTCCCTTTTGCGACGCCACTACAAGCTTCCACCCAAAGCTCACGACCTCATAACGACGAACCTCATCGATATCGAGTACGAACGACCTAGACTTTCGAACATGGTACACGATGCGGTCCAGAGGCCAACATAATACGTCGGACGTGGTACTTTCGTGACCTCACAAACCTACGCCTACCGACTTCAGCCCTACGATCTCCCCTTGAACGACAGCTGGCTCACGCCCTGGGCCAGGACCCTTCTCGGCCTCTGCTGCCGGCCGACATGGCGCTCCTCAATCCGACCTTCATCTTTGGCGTCGTCGTTCTTCTCTACCTGTCCTCTTTCATTCTCTTCGCCGTCATCCGAATCATCACCGGCGTCTCGATACAGCGAATCGGCTACTTCTCCCTCCGACGACTCGCCTACACCTTTAAGGATGGCTTCAAGGTTGAGATCCGAGGCTTGGGCCTGACCATCCACCGACCTACATTTTCCCAACCAACATGGCTGAGCATCGTCATCAGCGAGCTGTCTGTGACCATTGACGTCAGAGAACTCGAGGGAAAACGGGCCGAGGAGAGCTCAGCCGACGAGACCGACGCGCAATCGGACGACTCTCCGTCGAAGCCTTTGCTCAACCTTCCCAAGCTACGACGGAACGGTGCGTCGAGCACGAGGAGCCAGACATGGAAACACTTGATGAAATTGAAGGACCGCGTCAAGCGCATCCATCGTCAGGTGAAATGGCTGCGCATGGTAGACGTCGTGGCCACCAATTCGACGATCAATATTGTGGATGTGGGCAATATCCAATGCGGCAGCATCACCATCGCCGTGGACACCCGCAGGAAGATGGTGGACCGCGCCCGATTCTTCTTCCAGTTCAGGACCGACCGGCAAAAGAAGCAACGGCAGGCTGAATGGATCATGACTCTCAGGAGCGTACTCTTCACAGCGGAGGGAAACGAGTCGCTGGAGATCCTAGACTACGCTACGCTCAACATTCACGGCTTCCTGTACGAGGCTCTGGACGGTCTGAGAGACGCATCCATTGCCCTCAAGCTGAACCGCATCCACATTCCCTACGACGACGTTCAACTTTGCGTCCAGCGTTTCAAGCGCTGCAGAACCCAGAGATCGCCTTCTTTCGGTCTGCATGAGTCGCCTGATCTCTTTGCCGGTAAGGCCGAGCGCGAATCCACCGACCCGGGTCTCACAGAGGAAGATATCATGCAGACGGTGTCCGACTCGAAGGAATTCGTCAGCTCGATTCTCAGAGGCGTCAAGGAAGTTCAGTTCGCCGTTAGTTTTGTTGGATTGACAAAAAAGGTCGACACTGTCAAGCCAAACGCTGCGCCAGTTTTGCTCAATGCTTCCATGAAGGAGGTCGGTGTAGATCTTCATCGGCTGGATCCGAAATCACCAGCCCACAGAATGTACTTCCCATCCAAGGATATTGCACATGAAGCCCTGGCGGCGGCTCTGTCCATATCAATCGGACTCGACGATGGCCATGGAAAGCCGGAACGCCTGATTTACATTCCCATGACGACAACCACAGTCAAAACGACCTTGCCATCGAAAACGGTCGAGCTGGCCCGGGATGACACGGCGCAAGACAAAAACGCGAATATTCTTTTCGCAAACTCCGTCATCACATCACCATCTGTCGACATCGACCCTCGACATTTGCCGCTGTTGATTGCCATTCTTCAGCCTCAAACACCAAAGAGGCCTAAGACCCATAGGATGGGACAGCAGCCAGGTCATGTGCTGATTTCGAGGCTTCTGCCAAAGGCGAACATTAAGTTCACAATGCACGAGCCGGTCGTCAGGATAGCGCTGCCACCTGTGGACAAGGCTGCCGCAGACGACGACTTTGACCTCATCATCTCCCACATCTCGTCCATATCCATGGATATGGAATCCTCCCACTCAGCTTTACAAGAGCTTCACTATTCCCTTGCGTCCTCCATGCGACTGCAATCTCATCACCTGTACTATCAAACCTCCAACGGAGAGCGCTTCAACCTTGTTGACACGGAGAGCTTTGATCTAAAGGTACAGCTCAGTGCCGCGCCAGATGTCCACGTTGTGGCTTCAGGCAGCATTGACACTTTTGCTATCAAGATGGTGCGTCCTGAAATCACCGACGGTCTCAGGCAAATCTTCCGACAACTCCGACTTAATGTTGAGCCGAAGAAGCGCGTCGTCTCCAAGACGCTTCGAAATCAAAACTTTCTCCGTGGCATGCCAGACTGGCTCTTGCAGTTCCAGATGCAGGCTACTGACGTGAGTCTCGAAGTCGCCGGCATTGATGAGGAAATATCAGAAGACACCCGCGGTGTGTCGCTCCAACTAGACTCGTTCACGTCCGAGTATAGAGCACAACGACTGGACGGGCTGCAGCGGCGCCCCTCTCGTCGGCGAGCTCATAGCCGTACCGTTGCGCCTGATGCAGATCTCCTGAAGGCACCCCTTTCACCACGCAAGAAACAGCAAAATGCGGGCGATGGAAGGCGTGTCGCCTTGCACGTTCGAGGCCTTGAGGCATACATTGTGGAGGCCGCGGATCGTGTTGAAGCTGAGCCGTTTGTCAACATGCCTCGGTTTGAGGTTGCCTTCTCAACGTCAAGCGATCAGCAAGGCCCCATTTTCCACATTCATGCAAGTGTTCGCACGATTCTGCTGCAATACTCTCTGTACCGTCATTACTCGGTTGCCGTGGCCGGAATGGTTCTGCGCAAAGCATTTGTAAAGACGAGATCGGACACTACTCCCCTGAGATCACCGCCAGGCTCCAGAGCCAGTCTCTCTGGCGACCTTCTCGTTCCGCCCGGTTCTCCCGAGATGCCAATGGACTTTAGTGACATGTCGACCATCACGCAAGAGCTCGTTACAGTCGACTTCAAGGCAGCCATGATTCAGGTCAAGGCAGATATGCCCCATGACCCGAGGCTGTTGCTTCAGATTTACGGAGTCGAGGCTGGCCGCCACAGGTGGTCTGCACCATTCTTAATTTATAATCAGATTCGCTTGTGTGTCCAGCTACCGCGCATTCGCGGCGTCTGGGCCAGGCTGCTGTGCATCAAAGGAGGTCGGATCGATCACCGGATATCGAGGCGCAAAACGTCATCGGGCGCTTTCCAAGAGGAACGAATGTTCGATATTGCTGCAGACGCAACTCGTTTCGCGGTTCCACATGAAGTCATTGTCAGCAAGATCTCTGACAACATCACCAATGTGTACAAGTCAGTGCTACAACTACACCACCGCTTCAAGACAGGTACGAACGAGTACATATTAGACAAGCAGCCTGAGGCCCCCAAAAACGTCCCCAAAGTCTCAATTCGGACCAAGACCTTCTTGTTTGAGCTTGAGGATGGTGCCTTCGAATGGAACCTCGGTATGATCTACCGTGCAGGTCGTGTAGAGCAGATGCAAAGGCTTGCCCGGGAGGAGGCCTTCGAACTCAAGCGCAAGAAAATCCGCGAGGAAGAGTCGCGCAGAGACTCGCACAACAAACACCGCGCTCGCTCTCTGTTCCATAAAGGGCGTGGCAAGAACGGCGCTTCTGAGCCCAGGAGCCGAAGCGTTGGCGGTCGACGCCGTGCGAGCGACGAACCCGACAGGGGCAGAAAGCCGAGATACGACCCCGAGGGTGGCTCGCTTGGTATCACAGGTCGCAGTAAGATTGCTGAGCAGGAGGCTCGCCAGAAGCTCGACGCATACAACGCCACGAGCTGGAAGAAGCGCATCGACCGTCACTACGCACAGGGTAAGAACAGCATGCGGGATTTGCGCGGTCTCTTCTGGGGCCCCGATCATCTTCCCGACGACTTGGAAGAAGCCGAGAGAATTCTTGAGGTGCCCCAGCGCCCTGCGCTCATGGCTGCCATCATCACCGACCTGCACCTCCTCATCGACAAGCCTACCTTTCCGATGAAGGATCTGCCTGAATTCATCCACTCGGTAGGCAAAGGCATGCCGAAGGACATGAAGTATGGTCTGTTGGTCCCCATGCACGTGAGCATAGACATCGGCGAGGCCAGAGTCACTCTTCGTGACTACCCGTTACCCCTGATCCACATCCCGGGCCTCAAGCCTGGCCAACCAGCAAGACAGTCTGCCATGTCGCTCAGGACGAATTTTGTCATCGCCGAAGAGTATCGCGGCAAGAAATCGACGCGCCACATCAAGGTCAACATTATTCCTCCGCGGACGCTCGAGTCAGATGCCGGCCAGGAAGGGGGCTTTGCCATTGATGTCCGTCGTACAATCGGACCCATCAAGTCATTCTCAGACATGCGGATCGACATCAACACGGCGCTGCCGACGAGAATTACTTGGGGAGGGCCTTGCTATCAGCCGGCAATCCAAGACATGATGATGGTCATTGAGTCCTTCACCAAGCCGCAGGTGGACCCGTCAGAACGAGTTGGTTTCTGGGATAAAATTCGACTCAACTTTCATTCCAGGATACACATTGCTTGGAGAGGCGACGGAGACTTGCACCTCGCTCTCAAGGGAACGCGCGATCCGTACTGTGTCACAGGCAACGGTGCAGGTTTCATCATGTGTTGGCGCAACAACATTCGTTGGAACGTCAATGCTGATGACGACCCCAAACGATTCATGACGGTCGACTCTGGAGAATACGTCTTGGCCATTCCTGACTACAGCCACCAAGTCAGAGAGTCTAATCGCCGTACAGGGGACGAGGACAGCAACCTGATTGATGACAGCTACAAGAATGGCATCACCTTCAAAAAGGTGGTCATGAAGTTGTCCGGCAAAGTGCAGTGGATGACTGGGCTAGTGTTCGAGCAAGCCATCCAAGAAGGTAAGCGGAGTTTTGATTTCAAGCCGCACTACGACGTGGTACTGCGAGCGCCTCAGCACGCGCAGGGAGAAGAAGATGGCCTTCCCTACGATGCCTTCCGCGGCTTCAGGAGCAGCCACATTCATCTCTCCATTGGTGTTCGAGCACCGGGCGACAGGGATTGGTTGGCGACCAATCCTGCACCGTCACGCAGTTACAATGCCGTACACTGTACTCCTCGCTTCTTCACACACTTTTTCGCCTGGTGGTCGCTCTTTGGGGGTCCCATGTCGCTGCCGATTCGCCAAGGACCGCTCTGGCCGGGTCGTGAGAGGACAAGCAAGAAATTTGGCAAGCACCTCGCGACCATCAAGTACAATCTCCTGCTGGCGCCCCTGTTTCTCAGTCATATCTACAAGCATAAGGATGTGGAAGACTACTCCGAAAGTGCGGTATCTGCAACTGGCCTGAAGGTACGATTCGATAGCTTCATGCTCGATTTACACCAGCGGCGGGAAGAGTTCAACACGAGGGACCACGGCCGCAAGACGCAGAGCAGAACGAGCGGCATCAAAATCCACGCCGCACAGCTTGACCTGGCCAACGCAGACGTTCGTGCCGTCTCGGCTAGCATACGTGGCACCACGACCGAGGCCATCAAGAAGGGAACATTGGCGAACCTCTCAATCGACCAAGTCGAGACCGCGGATGTGTCGCGCTTCACGATCCCCGACAACGACCTGACTTGGATCGACATGGACGACTTTGTGGAACTCGACTGGATCTTGCCTACAGAGCCAAATCCCGACACGAAGATTTTGCCTCTGGCCTTCGCGCCTCGGCTTACTTATTTCCGACAAACAGATATCGGTGGCTCCATCGCAGGCGATCCTGATCGAACGAGTCCTTTCGGCGACGAGCCGACCCACTTCTGCATCATGAGTCGCGACGATGACCCGCGGCGTGTGCAGGCGCATCTCATCCAGGAACGCCTGGATCAATTGGAAGTGCAAATTGAGGGCCATGGACGCACTCTCGGCGAAGCCGAGCTGAAGATGGTACGCGATGATGGCGATAACCCGATTTACGCGGCGGATTTCGAGGCACTCCGAAGGCACAGTAGCGTGCTTAGGGACAAGAAGGCGTTCCTCGAAAACATGGCGCAACAACTGACCAGCAAGTCCCCAACGCATGGCAAGATGCCCAAGTTCAAAGGCGATGCCGCTTCTGAAGCATCGATTGAGGTCGACCGCGAGTCCATGAAGATCCCTTCGGGGGCCGAGTTCGAGAGCGACGCACAAAACCGCTTCGTCATTCACAACCTGCACTTCAAGTGGAACAATTTACTCCGGAACATTGTTCTCCGCTACACACACCAGGTGAGCCAGCGACGAGGCTTCATCTACTATCTCTCGCGCCCGGCCGTCAAGTTCATCATCGACATTGTTGAGGAGCAGTACAAGGCCAAATTTGGCACCAAGACTGCCAACGGCAAGGCCGCCACGGATGACAACTCGACAGATCCTAGCTTCATGGATCGCGAGACGCAAGAAGACATCGAGGAGCGTATCAAGCGCATTCTCCAAGACGGACGCAAGTTTGTCAATGCTGATCAGACCGACGCCAACGACACGAGCACAAACGTTGCCATGGAAGATTTGACCGGAGGCATCTCGGAAGACTTCCGGGCCCAGAGCAACTACCATGTCCGGGTCATTGCGCCTCAAATCCAGCTGCAGAGTGACAAGAACAAGAAGAATGTTGTGCTGCTGACGGCCAAGGGCATGGAACTCAAGGTTGTCGAAATCATGGACAAGGAAAGGCTGTCTGACGCGGTCAGCGGTCTAGTGCAACGGCGTATTCTGGTCTCCATGGACAGCACACAGTTCTTCGTCACCCACCAGAAGTGGTTCTCGACCCATCTCGTATCCATGTATGCTGGCAGCCAGTACGGCACGCCAATATCGACTTCCTGGCCGCCATGGGTGCCGATGGAGGTCATGTTTGATTTCCAGACCGACCCATTCGGCTTCAAGCGCGCTGTGCAGAAGACGTCGGCTATGCTGCGATACGACAAGTACAACACGCTGCGTCTGAAGTACAACGACGAGGTCAACACAGCGGAAGGTTCAAACCCCTCCTCGCAACCCAGCACTGAGAGCCGCGTCGACAACCTATGGGTCGAGTTCCCTCAGGCCAGAGCGCTCTGCAACTCGTCGCAATACTATGCATTGTACGTCATTGTATTGGATCTGTTAATGTACAGCGAGCCTCTGGAAAAGACACGAAGCGAGAGGCTCGAGAAGATCATGCTGGCGTCCGATTTCAGCGACCTCAGCGGCACGCCTGAGACGGTACAGAAGCTGCAAGAGCGCATCAGGCAACTCGAGGACATCAAGTCGCACTTCCAGATCTACTCCAAGTACCTGGATCAGCAGGGCTGGGAGGACAGATTGCTCCTGGAGCGAGATCTGGCCGCTTGTGAGGATGAGCTGTTCTTCATGATGAAGGCCATTACGACGTCGCAGAGAAAGTTTGACACGACGGCACAGAGCAACGCACTGCTTCGCTGGAGCATCACAGCCAGAGACATTGTGTGGCAGATGCTGCGCGACACCAACGAGCCGCTCGTGGAGCTGCAGCTGAAGGACGTGGAGTATGACCGGACGGACCACTCAGACGGCTCACACATTAACCTCATCCGTGTCGGCAAGGTAGCGGGCCTCAACCTTCTCCCCGACGCCATCTACCCGGAGATGATCGCGCCCTACGTCGATGGCGAACGCACGTCGATGAATGACATAAAAAACGACGAGATGGTGCGGGTGTATTGGAACATGCTAGATTCGATTGCCGGCATCCCCGTCATGGATCATTTTGAGGTCAACCTGTTCCCGCTCAAGATCCAGCTCGAACGAGAGCTCGGCAAGCGCCTATTCGAATACATCTTCCCCGGCATGGACGGAGACAAGACGCCTGGCGGCAGAAACGACTCGCCGTTCATGGTCAAACATAACTACATGCAGGACGAGAGCGGCGACGAGGAGTCCCTGTCAAACTCGACAACAAGTCGACAGACGCCGTCAGACAAGGACAACTTCAACACGCGGCCCGGCTCGCTCGAGCTGCGCCTGCACCCGACACTGACGTCGGACGCGCCGGCCAAGACGGCAGGATCTTCCAAGAAGGCCCTGTCAGTCCATAACGGTAGCGAAGGTCACTCTTTCCGACTGTTCCGCTCCATGGGCACGGGCAAGACAATCAACAAGAAGGCATCGTACGACTCGCTGCGATCATCAAACGCGCCCCGGCCTGGCAATATTGGGCGCTCGTCTACGGGCACGTCGTTTAGAGACGGCGGCATCGGAGGCGCAAACGAAAAGAAGTCACGGTTCGGGCTGCTACGTGGCGACAAGGACGACAAGGACGAGAAGCAGTCGGACGACCTCACCAAGATGATGACGCGCGCCAGCAACTACATGACGTTTGCGTTCATCAAGATGCCCTCGGTGGTGCTCTGCCTCAGCTACAAGGGCAAAGACAGCCGCAACTTTGAGGACGTGCACAACTTTGTGTTCCGCATGCCGGCGATTGAGTGGCGCAACAAGACGTGGTCGAACCTCGACCTCGCGCTGGCGCTGAAGAAGGCCGTCATCAAGGCGCTCATCTCGCACACGGGTG